TCAGTTGGACTCATCTGAGCTGAATTTCACTGGGTTCATTCTACCCCATCCCGAACAACCTTCTCTTCACAGTGCTTGTTCGTTTCACGTACACACACACACACCTCTCTATCTTTCTCTTTTCGGTCATGAGCTGTTTCATCAAAGTGCATAGACAGACACGCTATCGAATCTATTCAACCCGTTTGTTTCACTTCGGCTATTCACTGGATCTATGCGCCCCATTCATTCGTGACTAAATTGTCTCGTACTTGCTTCTTCTTTCATCTTCCTCAACCCACCCATATACGCAGATCGGTGTGAAGCGATGCGATACTAAGTTTCGTAAGTGTTACACTGCCTAATCTCTGCTGAAGAAATCCTACCGTTCTTGAATACTCACTACTTTTCATCCGCTTATAAGGATCCCTGTATTTGGTCCTCTCGGATGATCGATTCCTTGATTTGACCGATGTGATAAGCAGAAAAGGATATGTTCAGCACCACTACTGTTGTAGTCACGTTTAGAGAAAGACTTGACCAGAAAGGGAGTACATATATGAGGGGTATTGATTGTAAAAAATTACGGGATACCTGATCATCGGTAGTTACTTTACACCAAAACCGCTTCGCTGAATACTAGCAGAGAAATTCGGTGTTCAAAAACTGGACGTAATTTCCTGGGTAACTTATATTTGGTGTGCAAAACTTCATTGTTTTTTTCCAGCAGTCATGTCAAAACAGTACCTTGACTCATGCTTGCCGTTCGTAGTTTTGAATTTATTTCTCATGAAATTTTCGCTGACCCTTTTGCCCCTACTTTTTAATGCCCTTTTAAATCAAAGTTTCATTATGGGAATAACTTATAAACTGATGCTTTTCTCAACCCATAGGTTCGTTTTGTGGTTAAAAATCCTTGTGTAAAATGTCACACAATACGGGATTCTTCCCCGTCCGCACACAGCCTCACTTATGTTGGAATGTAGCGTGTGCTAGTGCTTCAGTCTAAGTCTCAGTTTGAAAAATTCAATGCTTGGCTCACAGACGACGTGCGATGGGAGAGAGTTCCAAATCGAACACACTCTGATTGCGAATGACTGACGCCGGCATTTTGAGATCACTAGTTTGAACGGATGTCCTCTAAGATGAACGGTGGGTGATCATTTTAGCAGCGAAGATGCTGCCTCGAAGAAATCACGTAAACGTCATATATTTAAGTAAATACAGTTAGGTTCTTGAACAAACACTACTAATGCAAATCCTGCGATTGCAAGTAGCACAAAACGTACACATCACGACAAAAGTTTCGTAATCACTCGGTTTTCACTGTATCTTCATTTCAGCGAGAAACAAAATTATTACCTTTGATTATCCTGACAATGGTATAGTTGAACACCGAGATGCAGAACTTCCATGGTTTGTTTAGATTTTANGTAATCGTGGTCTTCTACTGGAGCAAGTAGTCGACCTGCATAGAACACGCTGATTGGGACATGTGCTACGCATGTCACCCGATAGGTTGCCATGGCGATCAATGTTTTCTGAGGCAGGTAGCGGTTGGAAAAGGATCAATGGTGGTCAAACTAAGATCTGGCGTGAAGGCATAAAACCGCTAACCAGGAGACTGGCTCACGTAGGTCCCGTTCGGCTTCCTGGCTGGAAACCCCGAGATCATGGTCACTCATGGTTAGAGACACTTGCTGGATGTCGCAAACAGTGGCGCTCATACATCTCATTGTTTTTGTCACTTCAGTCTATATAAATACGCTCTCAGCATCCCAAACTTCATTCTACTGTTTTATCCAAGTGGGCAACCAAAACCGGCGCACGAAAGTGCATGGTTAATGGTTGTAAG